AAGTTTATTCCTTAAAAATAATGTTTATCAAATGTATAGCAATTTTTCTCAGGTTTTACGTTTTTCCTCTTGTGAAATATACATCCAAAAATGCATAGAATTTATATGGATAGTTTAATAAGTAATTATAAAGGAAATGCATAACATGTACACATGCAGGAAGAAACCGCCAGCACCAGAAGCTCCCTGCCAGGTTCTCCGTCATCACCAATTCACCCTTCTTCCCTAGTCTGCCTGTGCTGAGTTTTGATTATTATTTTCTTTGTCATTTAGTACCCAAACCACTCCAAAACAGTATACATTAGCTTTGGCTGATTTTTAACCCTTTCTTATTCTTTTATTTTGAAAAATCTCAAACCTGAAGGAAAGTAGCAAAGAAGTAAAATGAACCTTTTCATTCTCTTCACCTCAATTCCAGTTGTTAGCATTTTGTCATGTTTTCTTTATAGCCCTATAGATGGGTATTTTATATGCTGAACTGTTTAAAGCATTGGTTTTGAAATTTATATGAACAGACTTATACTATGTATATTTTGTCTCTTCATTTTTATAAAGTTTGGGAGATTGAAAAAAAAAAGTGAGTGACACCAGAAATGGTGTAGCACAGCATCACATGTTCTGGGGGAGGCTCTGATTATCGAAAGGGCACAAGGACAAGGGCAGAGGATGTGGAGTCTTTGGAGTCCTTCACAGAAACGCATGACCTTGACTGGGATATGAATGGGGGCTGGAGAGGTTGAAGAAGTTCTATCACACCCATACTGTCACTGCAGACACTGAACTGGAGGAAGCCTTGGGGACAGTCACTTAATAACTACTTATGAAGGCCCTACTGTGTGCCAGGCCCCAGGACACAGCTGTGGTTAAGGCAGAGGAGGGTCCTGCCCTCCAGAGAACAAACCAGCTAAAAAGATAGCGTAAGGTGAAATGAAGTCAGTATGACCAGGATGATGTCAGAGAGTGGCTGGGACAGGGCTGCTATGACGGCAGGATTAGTAAAGGCTTCTTGGAGAACATGACGTTTGGGCCAAAACCCACATACCTGAAATGACCCAGATGTGAGAGTCAACTGGAAGCGGCTCTAGTGGGGGACAGCCACAATCTTGTAGGCAGCCGCGGGAGACTCCAAAAAGGACCAGCACACCTGGTGCAGAGGAAACAGAGAGAGTTGGAGGTGAGATGGACACCAGGAAGAGACTCACACGCCACACGGAGGCCCAGTCTGGACGGCTGTCAACTGGCCTTCCTCATCCTCTTAAGAAGCAGTGAGGAGACCACAGAACAGGCCGGGAGGGAGACACGGCAGCTTGGGTTGGTGCCGGGGATCCCAGGAATGGTTAGACTGGGGTACATTCTGCACATGGCGCCAACTGGATTTATTAATGGCTTAAGTGTTAGAGAGAGAAAAACGAGGAAGTGTGACTGCAGCTTTCACTGAGCCAGTAAGGAGAAGAAACGCGGTGCGGAACCGCTCCTTGGCCTTCTCTCCGTCCCTCAGAGCTCCGCCCTGGATGTGAGGCCTTACCAATTGTGCTTTACCCTTTTGCTGCCAGCAGACTCCTGTGCCTCGCTGAAAACTCTATAAGCTCCTGGAAGACAAGACACAGCTCTGTGTCTTCATCTTCGGATTCACAAATAATTTCTTTATTTTAGTTGCCCATGAGCAAAACAGCAGAGGTGAAAAGAATACTAAACACAAGAGAGGAGGTACAGGGCCGGGGATTTAGCTCAGTGGTACCACTGCCTGCCTCGCCAGCTCAAAGTCCCAAGTTCGATCCCTGGTATAAAAATAAAAGAGAGAGAGGAGGGTGGAGGCAAAGGGCACCAAGGACCAAGGCTGGAACATTTAGCTGCCCAGCGCTTTCCCTATTTTTTTAATGTGGCTAGGGATGAACCCAGGGCTTCTTGCATGCTAGGCAAGTGCTCTGCCATTGAGCTAGGCCCAGCCCCTCCTTTTACTTTTGAACATTCTAACTGCCACTGAGAAAAGCAGCAGCCACTTCAAAGAGCAGCATCGCCTTACTTTCCATACTTTCCCCAAACCCATGCGAACAAAAAGGAGAAAATATGCACCCCAGAGGGAATGCCCTGGCATCTGGAAGGAGCAGTCTGGTGGTTCAGCTGCCAAACCCAGAATGGACTTTCTGCTATTTCCTGACCTGTTGGCCTCCCTTCCTTGTGCATCATACCTAGTGGGTGTCACCTGCTGTCAGATTTCTGTCCTATTATCAATTTGAGTTTGTCCTTCAGAAATTGTTTCCTCTTGAGTATTATGCCCGAGCTCAGCGGGTGAGAGTCTGATGGAGCAGCAGACATGCTTGTCCCCAGGAATGGAAGTCAACACAGAACTTCATAAACAATGAGGCAGCAGCGCAGACAAAAGAGCATGAAAAATGGTTCCTTAGGAACTCAGAATAGCACAAAGCTAGTAAATATGGTTTTCTATAAACACACGATTAAAATAAGTACGAAATGATCTGTTATCAGATTATCATGAACAAGAAAATGTTGGCTTCCTTAGAGCAAAATTGAAAAGAATACAAACAGCTGGGTAGAAATGTAAGATCTTTCCCACTTTAATTTTACTCTTGCACGAATTAGGCCAACCCTGGCTTTAATAAATTTTTATAGAAAATTTTTCTTTTACATATGAAGGTTTTTCATCTCTTGTGTCTCTTCTGTTGAAAATGTTAATTCACCTTGCTGGTCAATTGTCATGACCCTAGGGAAAGAATCTGATTTCTGCTTCTATTCTGCTGGCTGTTGGTCCCTAAGCACTCTTGCTTGATAAAGAATCTATTTCTGGGGCCGGGGATTTAGCTCAGTGGTTTCACCGCCTGCTACACAAGCGCAAGGACCCGAGTTTGATCCCTGGGACCAAAAAAAAAAAAGAATCAGTTTCTGTCCCAGCCACTTTTCCATCTGTGCCACCTGGCTGGGGGTGTTTTTTATTTTGGGTTTTTGTTTTGGTTTGGTGTTGTGCTGCAAGGGATGAACCCAGGGCCGTATGCCTGCTAGGCGAACACTCTCCCACTGAGCCACACCCAGGGCTCCAAGCCCCATTCATTTTAACCAGAAGGAGGAAGAGCGCACTAGACAGGCTGGGTCCCTGGGATGCACTGCCTGTAACTCCCCTTTTTCAGGCAGATCAGTCTCCACATGACCCTTCTCTTTTGCAAGGCCCCCTTCCCTATGAAGGTGTAGAATTAATCCTCATCAAACGTAAGGGTTTCTGCATTCCAGGCACACTCCTCCCTCCAGAGTTTGCAGCACACAGGACAGAAATATTTAAAATTAGGCATCTGAGGTGCCGTGAGCTCAGTGCCCAGTGAATGGGGGAGACCAGAAGTGCCGTGGGATTCACAGGAAGGTCGTTCCCTGGAGCCCAGGTGCTCAGAAAACCCAGGTGAAGGATGCTGTCTACATTGGGGTCCTTGTGAGCTCTGCAGAGAAGGGGATAAAGAGATGAGAGAAGAGCAGAGTATAGAGTGAACTGTTTGCTTCCTAGGGCTGCCTTAGCAAATTACCACCCACTAGAGAAGGGGGACTTAAAACAATAGGGATTTGTTTTCTCGCAGTTCAAGAGGCTTCAAGTCTCAAGTAGCAGGGTGTGCTCCTGCTGGAAGCCTCCACAGAAGAATCCTTGCTTATCCTTCCCATGGTTGCCAGCACTCGTGGGCTTGTGGACCCATCACTCCAGTCTCTGCTTCTTTCTTCCATGGCCTTTGTCCTTCCATGTGCCTTGTCTGTTTCCTTATAAGGACAACTGTCACTAGATTTAGGGTCTACCCTTGTCCAATGTGACTTCATTGCAACTAATAACATCTGCAAAGACCCTATTTCCAAATAAGCTAGTATTCTGAAGTTCTAGATAGGCAAGGATTGGGGGGCACACTTGTCAACTCCCTGAAGTGAGCGTTCAGAAAATAGGTGGATGTGAGTGGATGGTTTGATAGGAAGCACTAGCAGGCAAGGGTCGTTCTGAGAAAGGTGTTGAGTGCAATTCACAGGCGTGAAGTTGGCCATAGGTGGAGAGATAATGAAAGCAGCCACCACATAGCAGTCATCAATCATCATGTGCTATGCACTCTTCTCAGATACCTATGTTCTTATTATTCCATCTTAGATGGAGAAAAAGGGCACAGAGAGACTCAACGAAATGACCATATTACCAGGAAATAGAGCCAGGATTTGGATGAAGGCATTTGGCTGGGAGGTTGTGCTTTTAACTCGCCGGCTGTAAACTCCCCAGACCTTGCATTCTGATCACCTCTGTCCAGAAGAGAAGAAGCAGGGGCTCGATAAAGCAAGTAGAGGAAGAAACTGCTTAGCTTTGGTCTGTGTTAATGTGCCCCCTGCCCAGGAAAACAAAAGAGCTTCTTGAATTGGTATCAGTATCCAATGTTTTGAGTGAAGGGCTGTTTTGTTACTTTATCGCCCTATGATCCCCACAACACATGATTTCTTTTGTAGTTTCAGAAATGGGAAGGTGTTTGTTTTGAACTCCGAGAACTTTCAAGAATGGGGTTGTTTGTAAGGGATTCCTCCCGTCAGCTAAGCCATTCATTTTCCCCACTGCAGCAGACATGAATGAGCAGTGCCTGGCAGTGCCTGCTCTAACCTGATCCCTTTCCAGTGCCTTTCAACCAGGATGACTGAGCATCCGTGTTTGCCCAACACTGCTGGGCTTCCTGGGACATGCGAGTTTCAGTTTTAAAACCAGAATAGTTTGGCCAAATGGAGATAAGTTGACCACCCTACTTATAACCCCTCTGAATATGTAATCCCAGGAAAGTGTGTCCCTGACAGAGGTGAGCTCTGCTGTCCCCTCAAGGGAGACCAGAATGTCTAGCTTGCTTGGTGCCTATGTACGTGTCTAGAGTTACAAGCGATGTCGACTCCTGCTGGTAGGAAGGTAGGGAGATCTCTGGAAGGGGGCACAGGACGATGATTCAGTGGGCCTGGAGGAGTTATTTAGTATGGCGCTTTTGTTTTTACAGGAGAAGAGGATGAGGAGGAGCCTGAGATGCCTGTCGGGCCCCGTCCACGACCACTCTCTGAGCTACACCTTAAGGAAAAAGCCGTGCCCATGCCAGAAGCCAGCGCATTTTTCATCTTTAGCCCTAGCAACAGGTGTGTGAGAGGGGTGGGGAAGGTGGCCTCTGCTCCCTCTGTGATAGGAGCCCAGCAGGCCCCTGTATTTTACTTGAACCTCTGGGAGGAGTCTGGGACTCTCCCAACATCCTGCAGGTTGTGAAAAAGACACTGAGTTAGGGGAAAAGAGCCATGGATTCTGAATCAGATGATCCGCATTTATTTTTCCCTCTAGGCTTTGAAATGTGTAACTTCTCTATTCTTTAGATGATTACCCTTGATAATTTGCTAAGTCTGTTTTTAGCTTAACAAAAGGTAAAGGTAAACAATATCTTTTTTTTTTTTTTGGTACCAGGGATCGGACTGGGGTCCTTGCGCTTGCGCAGCAGGCGGCCAAACCACTGAGCTAAATCCCCAGCCCTTAAACAATATCTTAAACCTCCTCCTGAACACAAGGAAGGACTTTGTACCATTTTAACTGGCTCATTAGCTCCCAGCTCACACACTATTGTCTATTAGTATTTTGGCACTGAGTTTTTTTAACCTAACAAGTTAGACACTATTATCATCATTATTATACTGTATATTTAGTATGTTTAGATTTACATATTGCATATGATTTTATTTGCAGACAGTTTTTTGTTTTCTTTTGAGGAGTTTGATTGTTGTTGTTTTGCAGTGCTAGGGAGTAGAACCCAGGGCCTCACATATACTAAACAAGCCCAACTACTGAGCTACACCTTTTTTCAAAAAATTTAAAACAGATTATAGGGTGTTGTACTTTATCAGCTTTATCTCATTTGATACCCAAAGGGGTCAGGCAAATTATTTTTCTCATTTTACAAATGAAGAAACTGAGTGCTCAAGAGCCAGAAGATATGCATCTCCTGACACAAGCATAGTGTCATTTCTACTTAAACTTGTTTTCTGTTTCTTTTTTATTAGTGATACTAATTTTACAAAATATAGGGTTTCGTTGTGGCATTTTCATATATGTACGTAACATTTTTATTATGTCCATCCACCCCCTTACTACCTTTGTCTTGTAAAATAATAATCCCACGGCAACTGTCATGTCACTGAGCATTTTTAGTAACTCTCTCTCCTTTTGCAAACATTTTCTTTCTTCTTAGAGGACATTCTTTAGAAGTCCCTTAGTTCCTTTATGCTAAATTCACTTGGGCTGTATTCATACGTAATTGTCTAATTTCTTATTCTTGAAAGATAATTTTGCTGTGGACATGATTTTAGCTGACAGCTTTTGCCCCTTGGTTCATTGAAGATGCCATCCAACCATAAAGTCAGCTGGCAGTCCGACTGTCACGACTCTGTGAGGTACCTGCTGGCATCCCAGCTACCACTCCTCTCTGAATTACCTGCCCATCACTTCTAGCTGCCATCAACATCTTCTGTGACCTCCAGTGCTATGCAGATTCATTACCCTGAGTCTGGCACGGATTTCTTTCCATGTATCTTGCTTAGGATTTGTATTTGTTTTTTCTTCCTTTCTTGATCATTTGCAGCCATAATCCTTAAAGATTGCCTCTCCTTAATTCACTGTTTCTTCTTTGTGGCCCTCCAACTAGACATATGGCGGACCTTCTCCTGCTGACCTCCCTATTCCATTGCAGATAAATACCACACTTTCTTTATCATTCATCTGTTGACAGATATATAGGCCACCTTCAAGATTTCGTTGTTATAAGTTTTGCTGCTATAAACATAGGTATGCATGTATTACTATAATATGTCGTTAGTTATTTTGGTCAGATACCCAGAAGGGGAATAGCTGGGTTGAATGGAATTTCTTGTTTTAGTTTTTTGAGGAATCTCCATGCTGATTTCCAGGGTGGTTGAACTAGTTTACATTCCCACCAACAACATAGAAGGATTCCTTTTTCCCCAGCATTTGTTATTATTTGATTTCTTGACGATGGCCATTCTTTCTGGAGTAAGATTGTCCTCCGTGTCTTCTAAAGCTTCTTACATATCTTTCGTCTCCTTGCCTCTCTTCCAGTGTTCTGAGTGATTTCTTCAGAGATGTCTTCCAGTTGGCTAATTTTCTTTTTAACTTTATATTACTCCTTAAACCAGTTTTTTTTAAAGTTGAACATTATATTCTAACATTCTAGTCAGTTCCATTTGTTGTTAAACTGTTCAGATCCATCTGTCTATATCTAATAGTTACTGTGGATTTAGCAACTTTGTGATTGACTCTTTTATTTCAAATATAGTTATCCTATATCCTGTATCTGATATGCACGACCTGGGGAGAATCTAAATCACTTTATTGTTTCTTCTGATTTTGCATCTTAGTGGCTCATCTTCTTGTGTGTTTGATGACCTTTTTGGTGAGAATCCGAAGGACCTAGACTGGAATTGGGGAAACTTTCTTCCAGATGCTCCACCTCAAGACTGGCTTGAAACTTGGTTCCCTGACAGCCTAGCTGTTACTGGCATCTGTTCTCAGGCTGCCCATATGCAAACCTCAACTCAGCTCAGTGGGTTGGTGGGTTGGTTGACTGGCTGGCTGGTTTGAAGGGAATGGCCCTAGTGGATCTCCTAATTCTCATGAAACCAGCATTGTCCCCCCAAAATTTGCCCTTCTCAGTATTTTGGAGCATTTAATCACCCATGATGGAAGGAGACGAAGTCTGAAGGGCTGGTGTTAAGTGCTGGCTCCCCAACACGGCAGCTGTGTTTCTGGGCAAGCCTCTCCTTCCTGGGCTCCTGTGTCTTTATCTGTGAAATGAAGATGATAATAAGCAAGCTGTACTTGCTTCCTGTGCTTTTGCCAGATGTGATATGCAAGACACCCTGACTTTGTGGTGCTGTCCATGAGTACACAAGGGTACACATGGGCACACATGGGCAGTTCTTTTTCATTGTCTGAAGTATGAAACCAAGTTGTACACTTGAAGCTATGACATGGGAGCAAATCACCTAGCCAGAGAGCTGGCTTCTCTGGCCTCAGCATTCACATCTTCAGGTAGCTCATTGTTCCCAATGCACAAAATTATGCAGTAGACCTTATAAAGTGATTTTTTTCCAGTGGTGGAGAAAACGTCTCCAAACAAAATCCAGTTGTTAATTTCATAGGAATATGTGAGAATTCAGAGATTCCTGCTTGTCTCAGAGGCAGCCCTCCAAAATATCAGAGGTTACTGTCTGTGAATGTCTTTAGGACCAAGTTCCTCAGAAATGTCATCGGGGGTGGGGCGGGGCGCCTGTCATTACCCAGCAACAGAAGAATGTGAGGTCACACCACCAAGGCCATTGCAGCCTGGTAGAAGGAGCGGAGGGGAGTGGTCTTGAGACCCACAGAGCCACGTACCCCCTTCTTTCCTGACACGCCCCTCACCTCTCTACTCCCTCCTATGCAGGTTTCGCCTCCAGTGCCACCGCATTGTCAATGACACGATCTTCACCAACCTGATCCTCTTCTTCATCCTGCTCAGCAGCATTTCTCTGGCTGCGGAGGACCCCGTACAGCACACCTCCTTCAGGAACCATGTGTGTATGCCTTCTGCTCTCTGTACCCCTTCTGCCCAAGAGTGTGGCTGGGCCCACAGCTTCTGTTGCTGACTCCTTTGATCAGTCAGGAGCCCAGTTCCCAATCTTGCAAGCAGATGCATCATAAACATTTTTTTTTAAAAGATAGGGCTTTTATAGAAACCCAGCTTGGGACCACAAGCAAGTAAGAGAGCATGTGCCCAAACACCTCAGGCTGGTTCAGTCATTGGCAGAGGTCAGGCACGTCATTGTCTTTGGATGTTCCCCAGGAAACACTCATTCCCTGTGACCTTAGGGAGGAGAGACCATGACTTCCTCCCTGCTCCCAGCGTGCTCTGACCAGAGCGAGACCATCTGCAAAAAGGTGCCAGTGATAAGGCTGACCTTATGTAAAAGAGAGCCTCGGTTATCTCAATAGCATAAATCTAAATTTAGAGAGCCACCTAAGGCTCTGGTGAACAGCATAAGAGGCTATAATAAAAATTGCTATATCTCAAAACTTTAGAACTTTATCAAATACCAAGTAGATGGGCATGAAGAAGGGAGGCCCTGCTCTGGTGCCACACTGGTGCCCAGGAGTCTACATGGCCCAGGCTGTCTTACCTAGTGTAACAGCTACGGGCCAAGCCCTGATCCATTCCCTGGGTTACAATAGAGCATGAAATTCTGTAGCCTATCCTTGACCTGAGTAGACCTAGAGGAAACTCCTTCCCAGGTCGCAAAGAACAAGATACCAGGAGAGGTTGCCACCAGCATAGGAAGCTGGTGAGCTTAGTCCCATCAACATGAGCTGAGCATTTTGAATCTCCCTGCAAAAGAAATAAGGCCCATTCTCTGCCCCTTTGACCGATATAACATTTGTCTGGTTTGGGTTTGAAGTAAATTGGGCTAATGAGAAACATGTACAACCAGATACTGCCTAGCCCGAGAACCAGCTGGGCTCCCCGCACCTGTCTGGGACCCCCATCAAGAGTCACTGGTCAGCCGGAGCCACCCCATGGCAGGATCCAATGCTGAGTACACACCCCTCGCCCCCAAGTCCTTTCCTAGTCTCCACAGGGAAAGGCTCCAGGACTCACGCCTTGTTGTGACCTGGGGTTCCTTTTCTGGTGAACATCCACTGACCTGTCTTCCCGTCCTGCTTTCCTCCCTGCCCCACCCTCTCCCCACCCTGTTTCTTTTTGTTTTGCAGATTCTGTTTTATTTTGATATTGTTTTTACTGCCATTTTCACCATTGAAATTGCTCTGAAGGTAAAGTCCCGCCCCGTCTCCTCTTCCTCACTGCTGCCTGCCAGCGCTCTCTTGCTGCTGCCTGCTGCTGTCTGCTGCTAACACACGTGCTCCTGTTGGTGTGGGTTCACGCTCCGAGCCACTAACCCAGTTGTGCTTGTTTTTCAGATCCTAGGCAACGCAGACTATGTCTTCACTAGTATCTTTACCTTAGAGATTATCCTGAAGGTAATGCACCCCTCCATGCATTCCCTGTCTCTTTCCTCCTCAATCTCTGCTCTGTCCACCGACTCCTTTCTTTCTTCTGTATCGTTCTTTCTCTCTTTTTGACTCTCAAGCCTGAAATTGGAGAAATCAGTGCCCTTCTCTTTGTGGCATCATTTTACCTGGGCTCAGAGGCCAGAAGCCCACCCCACTGCATCCCCTCCCCTCTGACCACCCATAAGCAGTCCTTAACCTGCAGGAGCCCCCACTGATACCACTGTTGGTGCTGTCCCCGCATGGGTTAGGTACTGTGGTCACCATCAATGCGCACACACACACACACACACACACACACACACACACCATCTCCAGTCAATCAGTGATTGAGCCCTACTTAGAATTCTCCTCCTCCCCAAAAAAGAATTCTTCCTCACTCCTCCTGCCGAGAGGAAATGTCACACAAACTCCAGGCATGGAATACTTTGGGGCCTGGAGGATTCCCTTTGGCTGCTCTCTAAGGATACCCATCATCAGTACCTCCCTCAGTACTTGTTACAGACATCAGGGCTACCCTGGAGTTGGGGGCCACATGTCAATATGTGGACTTGGTGCAGGACTGGGAGCCGGCTTCCCAACCGAGGCCTTTCAGCAGACTGTTAGAGATCACATTCTGAGCCTGCAACAAAGCTGTGTTGCAGTGCTCTTGCCCTCAGCATGGGGGAGGAAGAATTACGCTGGGAGTTAAGTGCAGAGGGTGAGAATCAGCACTGCAAAGTGCTTGAGCACTTTTCCCAGCTCTGCCTGCTGCTGGCCCAGGACAGTTCCGTGGAGTGCTGCAACACGCCTGTGCTCAAAACAGATTAAGCCTATGTCCAAACAACACTGGGCAAGAGAGCTTATGTCTAAGTTTTTCCCATATATGTCTAAGTCTCTAAGCCAATGAATCACCCAGCTGGTGCACCTGAGCTGCCGGGTGTGCGTTCTGAGCCCTTGGGTAATGTGAGCTTGTCTCTGAGATGTGACCAGGTTTACCAGAAGAGAGGGACCCTAGGCTCAGAGCACAGGCTCAGTACAAGCATCTTCTTCCCTCCCAAGGAGCTCAGGTTCCATTCTCATCCATCCCTGAGGCTGACATGAGCTGACATCCACTGCCACTGGCAGCTGCAGGCCCTTCCCTTCCTGGTGAAATTGCCACGTCATGGCCCAGCCCTTTAGTGGACATGACATTTCCGTCACACCCATTTACAATCTGAGTGTGGCAGTTTCTGTGTGCCTTCCATGATATCCTTGTCTCTGGACATCCAGTTGTCCGAGCTTCTGTCACTGGCTCCAGCTCACCAAGGGTGTTGCTCAGATTTTTCTTTTCTGCTCAGGGTAAAATGAGCTAGCCAAGCCCCAGTTTCAGGAGGGGGAAGTGGGAACCAGGAATCATGTGATCGCATTAAGATGCACTGCTGGGAACCCCTTTCCATGGCAAGCTGCTTTGTTCCTGGACTCCAGATTCAGGGAGGTACACAGACACAAAAAACTCTTCCCCAGGACACGAAAAGCTCAGAGGCCCCTCTCTCAGGACCCCCTTCAGAGGGCCCCTTGTGGATTTCAGTGGTGTCACATCTCCTGCAAGATCATCCTACAGCAAAAGTGAAAGTCTCTCTGCAAATGTGCTCACCAAAAGGCCCTTCCCTCCACTCACCCCTCTTCCTCCTCTGGTCTCTCTGATGCTCACTGTGCTTCTGAATGCCCACTCCATGCCAGTGCACTGCCTGCACTTCCTTCTCACTGGGTCTCTATCATTTGTCTAAAGGCCCTGCATCATGCCACAGCATAGGCAATGCTGGCCGTCCACAAGGCTCACGTACCCTAAGGAACCATTGAAGGGCCCAGGGCAATTTGGCCTTAAAAAGGAAAGGTTTGCAGGATACATGAGCTAGCCTGAAATGCAGAAGACTGTCACACAGAAGGGAAATTCAAATCAGGACCAGCGCATGGAAATGTCAAGAGTAATGATACATTAGGAACTAGGAAGGATGTCTAGCGAGGCAGTGATTGCTGGTGACCGAGCAGAGAGCTACTGCTGCCCTTCGGGCTCAGAGGTAGGGAGCCTGTGCTCTGTCCCCTTTTTCTCCTCAGGATGGAAAGACCCCACAATAGGCCTTTCCTGGGTGACAGCTTAGAACTTTCAGGAAGCAAAACAGTGATCCCCTGCTGCAGGAGATAAATGGAAAGAATTAGGTTGCAAGAACTATTTTTGCCAGTTCCCTCCTGTGTTTGCTTTTGAATTGCTCTACAGGCTCACCACCCTGGGCATGCTCTGATTCCAAAAGGATAAACTGGACCCCAGATGACCAGGGAGTGGCTCTCATCCTCTTAGCCATCAACCCCTAGTTTTTCCCTTTGGCTGATGCTTCATGGCCCATGGCATTTTACAGCCCTTCTCCTGGATATTCACAGGCCCTAAACTCAAGCCACCAGTGTGGGGAAAGAGAGTTGTTGAGCACCCACAGTGCTCAGCTTTCTACAAGCCCCAAGGGAAGGACTCCCAGTCAAGTCCTGCAGCAATAATCATCATCCTGTGTGTTCTCATTTTTAAAGTTTGCAGAGGGCCCTTGTTTACCTGCCTGAGCTTCACAGAGGCAGAGAATAGTATCCCTCTTTACATGTGAGGAAACTCAACTTCTCTCGTACAGGAAGAATTCAGAACTCAAATCCAAGCTACCATGAGAAGTGGCACTTACCTGGAGCTCACTCTCTGCAAGAAAGGGTTCTAAGCGTGTTCTATATAATTACTCAGTTGATGCTGACAGCCTTAGAGAATAGGTATTATCATTATCTTTATCTTTCAGGTGATGAAAATGAGCCACAGAGAAGTTAAGTGTCTTGCTGGAAGCTGCACAAATGAAATACTATAGGGCTGGGGTTCAAACCCAGGCAACAGAAGTGTGCTCTTCACCATTGTACCACATCCCCCCTCTGCACACACAGCTAGCGCACTTCCTTAAAGGATCCCAGGTGTAATCTAGAAACAACATGATCAAATTGGGCTGAGAACATTTGACACAGATCCAACACTCTTTGAGGCCAGGGAGTGGAGGGATGCTAAATGCCAGCTGCTGGCAGAACTTCTCTCTGGGCACTAAGATGACCATCTCTTCCAGTTTGCCTCAGACTGAGGGCTTCTTGGGAAGCAGAACTTTCTAGAGATAAAGCTGATTAAGTCCTGGGCAAACCAGGGTACAGGTAGTTGGTTACCCTATAGGGTGTGCCTTCTCTCATCCCCAAATGCCTAGCTTTCCATCTGGCCCTGAAGGTAAGAGGATACTGAAGCAAGTGGGGAACTACATTAAAAGAAATCTAGCCTGGATAGCAACAGCAGAGGGCCCTATAGGGTTGGAACCATCATGGACTTGTGATGAGGAATAGTAGGAAATCAAAGAGGGATGGAGGGCTCACTTGAAAGGGTTTTGAATATAGGATTGAAGATTTTGAATATAGGATTATAGTTTGAATATAAGAATATAGGATTGAAGAGTTTTGCATGGTCGGTGTGGGAGCCACTTATACACCTGAGCTGGGGCAATTCTTTGGCAGTTGAGTGAATATTTTCAGAACCCTTTTCTGGACACCATGTCTCCTTACTCAGTCCTTCCTTTTCCCTGTGGTAGATCTTGGGACCTGCCCAAAGGAAGCTGTAGAGAAAAAAGTAGTTGGGAGGTGAGGGGTCTTTGAAGCTTGGGCTTGTGTTACTCTTGGGCTTGTGTACTCACATTTCTCTGTACCTCCCTGCAGATGACTGCGTATGGGGCTTTCCTACACAAGGGCTCTTTCTGCCGGAACTACTTCAACATCTTGGACCTGCTGGTGGTCAGCGTGTCCCTCATCTCCTTTGGCATCCAGTGAGTAGGGCTCCCAGAGCCCAAAAGGGGACATGTAGTTAGGAATGGGTGCCAAAAAGGACAACCAAACCTGGAGGGCTGCCTGCAGGGCCACCAATGTGAATGATGTAACAGGAAGGGCCCTGGAGGTTGCACAACAAGGCGGCTGTGATTTCTTGCATCCATTTCCTAGTATGCTATCCACAGGAATATGTCCAAATGTCCAGACGTCTAGATTTTGTCATGGCAGATAAGGCTAGGTTGTGCACCTTTCTCTCTCCTCCAGCATGTGCCCAGTGCCCTCCAGATGCCAAAAGCCTGCCATTGCTGTGGCCTACCCTGACCTTCTGGTCCATCCTCCCTCCCTTTCTGTGTGTGTGTGTGTGTGTGTGTGTTTGTGTGTGTGTGTGTTTGTGTGTGTGTGTGTGTTGGAAAGAGAGAAGTACTGATTCTCAATCTTGGCTGCACAGAGAAATTACCTGGGTCGCTTTTAAAAATGGCATTTGAGCTAGGAGCAGTGGCCCATACCTGTAATCCCAGCACTCTGGGAGCCTGAGCAGAAGGATTGTAAATTTGAACCTAGCCTGGGCAACTTAGTGACTTAGCAAGACTTTGTCTCAAAATTTTAAAAGGACGGCCCAGGATTTAGCTCAGTGGTTTCTCTGCCTGCTGTGCAAGCGCAAGGACCCGAGTTTGATCCCCAGTACCCAAAAAAAAAAAAATAGTTGTTCAATAAATTTAAAAAAAAAAATTTAAAGGATTGGGGGGCAGGGGATGTACTTCAGTGCAAAGGCCCTGGGTTCAATCACCAGTACCACAAAAAAAAAAGACATTTGCCTTAATCACACCCCCAGATGGGTATGTTCTGAGCTTTGGGAGTTTTCAAGTTCCCCAAGAGAGTCCCTTGCACAATCAAAGTTGCAAGCCTTGATCAGCCTTATAAGGATCTGATTATGAGTTTCTCCCACATCCAGCCACATTAAATCTGCACTTTGACTTTCAAAGCACTTTTCACCTAAGCATCCTTCCATGGTCCTCAAAAAAAGTATCTATGAGGTAAACAGCTCAAGGGCTGTTATCGTCACCTTATAGATGGGAAATTTGAAGTTCAAAACATGAGGAGACTTGCACAAGTTCCAACCAATGGCAGAGAAAGGCATAAGTCCCAGGGCCCTGGGTTTCCCTTCTCGAGATTGTTTTAGGGTCACCTTTCAGGATGAAATGGGGACTGTGGGAGCAAAACCTGTTTCGGTGCCATCAGTCATATTACCCAGAATTTTCTGCCTAGGAGCCTACAGACCCAGATTCTATCCCAGCACTACTGCTAAATCACTATTACACCTTGAACCAAAATTTCCTCCTTTTAGTCTTTCTTGCCCCATCTGACCTTTAAATCCCTTCCACTGTGAATGAGTGCATACTGAATCCCTCCCAGAGATGCTCAAGAAGAAATGCCGTGAAAGAGGGATGCCCTTTGAATCCTTTGGAATTAAAGACCCATGAGCCAGGGAAATCAAATCTTTCTACTAGCTTCCTCTTATGCACTTCATCCTGACCCATGAACAATAAAATCAGCCTTTGCCGATGGTTTAGGCTCCAAGGCAGGTCAAAGGCCTCCTCTCTGAATTCTGGAGAAGATACCCAGTCAGATAGCCTGTGAGGGTGGGGATGTGCTTCTGAGTTGCTTACCAGCCTGATCTCAGTAGTAAGCTGTCCCTGGGCAGGATGGCTAACTGGAAACCATCCAGGCATCTTGCTGAAGGGGCTTGTGGAGGGACCATTGCCATCCTGGCACCAGGGCAGTAGCTGGTAGCTCCCAGAAGTTCTGGCTTGGCCGTGGCATCAGCTCTGTGAGGCTGTTCTTTCTGGGAGTCCTGAACATGCTATGAACTAGAGTGAAATGTACTTATACATATAATGGACATCTGCCTGGAATCTGTATTTGGAGATCACCACCCAAAAATCACCTCCTCCTACCCCAGCCTCCAACCACAAGGCCTAAAGTTGCACCATTAATACAGTCTTTCTTAAGTACAATGATGTCTTCAGCAGGCATGATAATAAAAGATTCCATTTACTCAGTTCAGGGCCGGGGATTTAGCTCAATGGTTTCGCCACCTGTTGCACAGGCGCAAGGACCAGAGTTCAATCCCCGGTACCAAAAAAAAAATGTTCACATTTACTCAGTTCATATGTGCCCACCACACTGCTTGCTACATAATGCACAAAAAAATTCCCTTTTAATTCCTCCAGTGACCTTAGTTGCTAACTACTGCCTCATTTTACAGATGAAGAAACTAGGGCTCAGAAAAGTTAGGAAATGTATCCTAGGTGGCTTGGCTGGCAGGTGGCAGCCGGGAGGTCTGAATTCAGGCTGGCCTTGCTCTCAGTGTCCTCTTGGACACCTGAATGGCACCCCCTAGTAGCACATTATATTGCTCATGACTCCTGCTGAGTTGGTTTGCTCATTATATACTCACCAACAGGAAAGTCTTAAGAGTTGCAGGCAAGCTACAAGTTCTTAGGGGTGGGATTAGGAATACAGAATGGTCTCCCAAAAAATCCCCAAGACAGACTGTCTATTCTTGAATTTGCTTGGGATCCGCCTATTGGGACCCAACCTCAGCACATCATTTCCTACTGTGCCAGAAGCAGGGCAGGTGTATCACCCACCCCGTTTCTCCACCAGGTCCAGTGCAATCAATGTGGTGAAGATCTTGCGAGTCCTTCGAGTCCTCCGGCCCCTGAGGGCCATCAACAGGGCTAAGGGGCTAAAGGTGAGATGGGTGGGTCTACCTTGGGAGCCTTCACCCCAGCAAGCATTAGTCAACCTGGGGGTTGGTGGAAGTTCAGCTGAGGTGAGAGGTGGGCTGGGAGGAAGAGATCATGGTCAGGCTAGTGTCTGCCATGTTGAAGCCTGGATTGTAGTCTCACTTCAAGTCCTGGTTCCATGATGAACAGAATAGCAGAGGCCACTATTCAAAACCTAAGTTCTGAAGCAAACATTTGCCAAGTAGAGACCCCCCCACTCAAACACAGGACTCCAGGCAATGAAGGGGTCCCCATGTGCCTACTGCCGTCAAATGGGAAGTTAGCAGGGCTTGAATCCCCACAAGTCCTTGAGAGTCCCAGGGGAACTTGACGTTCTATGGGGTTCCACCACTCATACACCATGTGGCTCTGGGAAGTTGCTTGGCCTCTGGGAGCCTGGTTCCTCCCGCTGGTAGCAGAGGGGCTACCTACACTACCTCCCTGCAGAGGCTCATGGCCAGCTGAGGGGAGCTTGGGCTGAAGCCATGTCCCCTGGGCCCTGTCCCTCTCCAACTGCAGCACGTGGTCCAGTGTGTGTTTGTTGCCATCCGGACTATCGGGAATATCGTCATTGTCACCACACTGCTGCAGTTCATGTTTGCCTGCATCGGGGTCCAGCTGTTCAAGGTGAGGTCTTGGTTCTGATTTATCCCGCCTCCCTCCTTACATGTCAGCATCCCAGGACTGGGAACGGTGGGTACAGTAAAATGAGGACAACAGCCAGGGTCACAATGGGGCAAATGTATTCTCTGACCACAGCTCTGCTCAAGCCTCACAGACCACAGGAGGGAGGAGTGGAAGGGGGCTCTGCTCCTCAGGCTGAGGCTCCTCACCCTAGCTTCACCTGCCCTTCAGCTGGCTGCTCTTCCTTCTATCCAAAAAGGGAGAGGGACTTTCATCTTTTGGAACCACTGTATCACCCACTTGCTCAAAACCTACAGCAGAGTCAGGGATTTAGCTCAGTGGTTCTGCAGCCTGCCTCACAAGCGCAAGGTCCCAAGTTCGATCCTTGGTACAAAAAAAAACCTACATCAGCTGCTTATTATCAGCAGCATCACATCACACTTCCCCAGCTAGCCTGAGGCCAGGGTCCTCCCTATTTTCCTCCCTTTTCTACCTTTATGTCTTGTTTCTGCTATTCTCCCACCTAAAGCATTATTCCCCTGTTTCCCTCCATCCACCGTAAAAACTCTCCCTGATTTCTTCCCACCTAACTCCTCCCTTCAAACCTGGCACCACTTCCTCCCCCCTCCCAAGAACTTCCTAGAGAATCCAGATTTCAGGGGCTAGAGCTTCCTGCATTTGAATTCCAGGGGTACCCACAGCACTGACATCTTTAGTCTCTACCTGCTTTATATGTGTGAGTCATGTCTGCCCCATCTCGATTCTGTTCATCTTGCAGTTTTTATTTCACAATCCTGACTCAGTACTGGGCACTAGAAATGTCCATTAATCATTTTTTGATGAATTCATCGATAAATGAACATCTCTAATCACTTTGTTCTTCTGGCTTCCAGGGAAAGCTCTACACCTGCTCTGATAGTTCCAAACAGACCGAGGCAGAATGCAAGTGAGTGTCCATGGGCGGGCAGCCTGTTGCAAAGCTGGTTACCTCGGGGGGTTGGTGGCTGGTCTGAGCACAGATTGACTCTACCCACATGGAGTCTGTCTCATTGATGTGACACAGAGACTAGTCTTCTCTGAGGGCTCTGCCCACTGAAGTTCTCCCCAGTGGCTAGAATTATGTGGTTTCACCCTAGCCCAGGACATCCCACCCAGCATACGAGGTCATTGACTGTTCAGGTGTACATGGGAGACGTGTCTCTCTCCTCCTCTCCCAGGGGTAACTACATCACATACAAAGACGGGGAGGTTGACCAACCTATCATCCAGCCCCGCAGCTGGGAGAACAGCAAGTTTGACTTCGACAATGTCCTGGCAGCTATGATGGCCCTCTTCACCGTCTCCACCTTTGAGGGGTGGCCAGAGTGAGTACATTAACCAAGGCCCTTCTGCCCTGATATTGGAGGCCCAAGCAGCAGAAGTCCTCTGTTGCCCAGTTTTGTTCCTGACCTGCCTTCCTTTCCAGAGGTCATGCCTCCCAGGCAGTGAGAATGTGTTTCTGGAACAACCTAGAGGTCATGCCGGTGCTGAAACATAGACTCTTCTAGAATATGCCAAAACTTCATTTGTTTATTTATTTATTTATTTGCAATGCTGGGGCTCAAACCCAGAGCCTTGCACATGCTAGGCAAGTCCTATACCACTGAACTACATCTCCAGCCCAAGATGTCAACACTTTAGAAACTCCAACTAAAAATGAATGTGTTTTTTCAGTTCCCTTTTCCAACCTCAGCGTGATCCACAAGGTCTCTGTCATTACCCTCATAGCGGATGGCAGTGTTATGGGAAAAGTTTCTCCAAATGCAGGCACTTGAGGCACCACAGAGTTTCAGATTCCATTCCCAACATCCACTCGGAGTAGGTGAAGGCAGCGGGGACATCTCTGATTAGACTACACTCCAGCAACCTCAGAAAAAGCCATGTATTCACAGTAGATGGTGAGAAAGGGCTGGAAGCATGAGTCCGAGTCCCTCTGCAGAGGGGATGCTTTCATACCTGCAGCAGCCTGTTGACTCTTTGCACTGTGTCACCTTGAGCAGGTAGCTTGTCCAGCAGTTGTTCTGCATATCTATGCATAGACACCCACATCCCCCATCTAGCAGTGCATGGGTCTTAGGTGAGAGTTGCCATTCATGTAGGTGACACCCAGAGAGTAGCCACATTCTGTGAGGGAGAACAGAGGAAGAGAGGAGATGACCTCTGTCCGTGAAGAGTAACGAGCTTGGCGGGCCATCTCCCAGGCCCATGTGAATGGCACGTGTGTGTAAATGGCTTCAGTAGAAAGCCAGACCAATGAGGTGATCTAAATAAGCACAGATCACATTGGTATTTTTACCTAAATGGGTATTTTCTCTCAGATTTATTTTATGTTTGCTCTAACCTCCTCTGAGTCCATGCCAGCTTGCAAAGCTGTTTCAGTATTCACCAATATGTCCATTTTGAAATTGATGTCCATGACTCATGTTCCATTTAAATAGTTCTTGACAGTTTCAAAACACCTTCCTATACATTATGTCAACCACTCTGTAGGTAGGAAACTCAGAAATTACTGTCTCCGTTTTACAGATGAGTAAATCTTGAATCTCAGAGTGGTTAAAGTGATTTGCTCTAGACCACATGACCCCTGACCTAGAGCTGTTTCCTTGGGTCCTGAGGACCCTTAGAAGCAGTAGTGCCATCACCTCCCAGAGGTACACTGCTTCTCCAGTTCCCTCCATGGGGCCTGTCTCCTCCTGCAGGCTGCTGTACCGCTCCATCGACTCCCACACGGAAGACAAGGGTCCCATCTACAACTACCGTGTGGAGATCTCCATCTTCTTCATTATCTACATCATCATCATTGCCTTCTTCATGATGAACATCTTCGTGGGTTTCGTCATCGTCACCTTCCAGGAGCAGGGAGAACAAGAGTACAAGAACTGTGAGCTGGACAAGAACCAGGTAGCTTTCTAAGGAGCAGAGGAAGTCGAGAAGGGAAGCAGGGCCACGTAAGGAAGGGAATTGTAAGGTACAGCCTGTGGCCCACCCAGAAGTCAGCTGAAGTCCAGGGAGAGATCCGTGTGGACACCGAGGTCCTATATCCCCTCCTCAACCACAACAGAGCTGTCAGTCTTCTTGCAAAAGAAATGTAGATTCCTGCAAATCCTAGATCTCCCAAATGTATTCAGCCAACAAACATTTCTTTTATTTAAGGGTACACTATGATAGGCTCTAAAAAAAAAATCTTATACCTTATCAAGAAGTTGGCGAGTTAGAACATACACAGGTGCATTGGCATCATTGAGAAGGAGGAGAGAAGCTAAAACAATGAGAGAGTAAGAACTTTGGGGATGGGCAAGGCAACACCTTGAGGAAACCATTCCTACATGGTTTCTTAAGCAAAACTCAGAGGCCTGTGCTGGAGCAGGGGGCAGGAAAGAGGTGGGAGTGGGAGTGAGATGGCAATGCCATGGCTGGGACATGTGCTGGGAGCTGGGAGAAAGCTGGCAGCTCGGGCAGTGAGTAACGACGCTGGTGGGGTGGAGGTAGGTGTAGTCACCGGGTCGCTTCCCCGTGCTGTTCCCCATGGGAACAGGGCATGCGGAGACACCTCCCTGTCGGAGGAAGGACTGCTGATGAGAGAAGGAAGGCAGCATGGTGTGCTCAGCTCTTCCCAGATCGGGAGAGTCAGGCCCCTCGTGGGTTTGCGGTCTGCTTCTTGGTCTAAATCATCATCTGGCTGCTGGGTGCACTTTGGATTGAAAAGAAGACAGGAGAAAGACCAATTGAAAAGAGCAGATGAAGCAGGCATGGCGGCTCACACCTGTAATCCCAGCACTCTGGGAGGCTGAGGCAGGAGGATCCCAAGTTCAAGCCAGCCTGGACAGTTTAGAGAGATTTAGAGAGGGCCTGTCTCCAAATAAAATAAAACCAAAAGTGCTGGGAATGCAGCTCCATTCAAAAGCCCTGGGTTCAATCCCCAATTCTGAAAAAAAGAAAAAGAAAAACTGTGAATGAGAGAAACTTAGAGCCTGGTCTAGTATCAAGGTAACAATAGTAGAAATGGGAAGATAGAAGGAGATGAAGACAGTAAGGCTCAGCATGCAGAGGCTGAGGGTTAGAGAGGCCAGAGTAACATCTGTTTCCAGAAGGAACCTGAGCGCAGCATAGAGGAATGAAATGATCTTTGCTCCAGTCCCAAGAATTTCGTTAGTTAGGTCTCTCTCCCCTCTCGATGAACAGTGTTTTCTGATCTGGTGCACATTAGCAAATCCAAGAGATGGACTTAGGATAGAAAGAAAAATTGAAGCTAGAAGCATCGCAAGGAGAATCTGTGGTGTTATCATTCCTCAATAATGAGAAGGACCGACTCTGAGCCAGTCATTATTTTTCAAATGCTAGCCACCTGCCAGGCAGTATGCCACATGACCAGCTGAAAGAAGGGAGATGTGTGCCCCTTACCTATGCTCTAGATAAGGAAATTTGATTAGAAGAGCTCCCTTGAATACAGGGGTGAAAATCAAAACATTTTCCAGTTAACATCCCAAACCTGGAAGTGCTCTGGAGGTGTAGGCTGTTTCCATGACACCCAGGGACGCCTCCCCCGGAGCGCGTAGCTCCATGTGCAGCCCACCCTTTTTTGCCCATGCCCCCCAACCATCCAGGAAGCTGATCCCACTCTCTTCCCCCTCGTCCCTGTGCCCTCCCAGCGGCAGTGTGTGGAGTATGCCCTCAAGGCCCGGCCCCTGCGCCGGTACATCCCCAAGAACCAGCACCAGTACAAGGTGTGGTATGTGGTCAACTCCACCTACTTTGAGTACCTGATGTTCGTCCTCATCCTGCTGAACACCATCTGCTTGGCCATGCAGGTTAGTCTGCGTCTAGCATGGGAAGACACGAGGCATAAAGGAGATGTTGTGGTCACCTTCCTGCTAGTCAAAGGAGGCAGAAAAGGGAGAAGAGTTTTCCTCTTCCTCTAGCTGATGAGAGTCAAGGGTTCTTCCCAAGGATGAACTCCCCACTGGGACCTTATGAGAGAATGCCCAGATTCCTGGGTTGATAAAATGGCGAGAGTGAAGGAGATGAAGAACCAAGAGAGTGAGGGGAAATCGCTCGTTGTCATTGTCAGTAAGGCACAGGGTGTGGAGGTGGACAACACATCCATCTGGCTGTGGGAAGGGTAGCTGTGCCAGAGCTATTTTGGGTGCTGGAAGTTGCCAGAAAGTCATTGAACCCAATCAAAGAAGGGACACAGAACTCTTCCAATCCCTGTTTTCAGAGATGGTAAAGAAAGGAAGAGCTCCCAGGCTCTCCTGTGTCCACCCAACTGCCTTGGGAAGGGCAGGCGGCCTTCAAGGAGGCTGGGCCAAGGAAGTGCTGTGGGGATGAGGGCCTTGGACAAGGCTGGGTGAAGGGATTGAGGAGTAGGGTGTCCCTCCTTCACCGCACCCCTCACGCTCATGGTTCCTGACTCCCTCCATCAGCACTACGGCCAGAGCTGCCTGTTCAAAATCGCCATGAACATCCTCAACATGCTCTTCACTGGCCTCTTCACTGTGGAGATGATCCTGAAACTCATTGCCTTCAAACCCAAGGTAGGCCTCTGAGAAAGGGCTGGTCGAAGGGGGCAGGAGAAGCGGGTGGCACTGGAGTATGGAAAGAATGGGAATGAGGGGCAGAAATCCCCCACAAGGGGCCATCCCTGCTCCTGTGCTAGGTGCTCCAGCTCCTGCGCCTGCCACACACTGAACCATGCCAGTCTCAGCTCACACCCTTGGCCGTGACTGACAGGGAGCAGAATCCTCAATGAACTGAGCTGTGAGCCTCCTCCTCCCATTTCCCACAGACTGGCAAACCAAACCTCTCAGCCCAGCCCCCCAGATCCACCCAGGCCTCTGTTCTGCCCTCTCCAGTTTCACTGGCCACGCAGTCCAACCTCATGTGAAAAGTTCAGCCGGGGCTGTGTTCACTTGGGGCTCTGGGCTCCAGCCCATGGGCACTTCCTGTTTCTGCCTCAGAGGCTGTGTCATTGCTCCCTGACACCTTCCAGCACAGTAGAGCAGTTCCCTGCAAATTTCTCTGTGCTGCCCCTTGAAAGGGAGAGGAGGTTGGAATCCCTGGCTGATGAGGCCCGGTAGGTGAGGCTGGACGACCTGCCACTTTGGATCATCTGTGCCCTCCCACTTTGGATCATCTGTGCCCTCCCAGGGAGCCACCTCAGGGTCCTGGATGGTGCAAGGGCCAACTAGTGTGAGAAGCACTGTCCAACTTTGGCCTCTAGATGGTCAGAATTGCCGGCATCCACTGGCCAGGGGTTGACAGCACATGGGCAGCCACTTCTGAGGGAAGCTGTGACGGCAAGTCCGTGGCCCCCAGGTCCACAGCAACTGCTTTGGGAGGGTGAAGAAAAGGAAAGAGTGGGAGAATTTGTTACAGACTTGAGAAGAAACCTCTTCACCTTTCTGAGCCTTCTCTTCCCTTCCTTTGCTAGTCTTCCCAGATGCAACACAGATCAACAGGAGGCAAAAGGGATGAGTCCCTGGCCATACTTCTATGTTTATTCAGTTTTTTACTTGTCTGAGGATTAACCAGGGATGGGAGTCTCTCCTTGGCTATTGGATCACCTTCGTTGACAAGATATTCATAGCTTCGAATTCATATTTGGATGACATCTTTGAGAGTGGCCATGTGCCACGCACACATCATTGCCTATTAACTTCTCCCTTGAAGATAGGAGCTAATATCCCCATTGCAGGGAGGAGGGAAGGGAAGTGGCCATTATCAATGCCACCACTCACTAGTAAGTGGCAGAAATGAGGTTGCAATGTGGCACCTCTGGCTCTGAAGTTCATGTGTTTTCCACCACACCACACTGTTTGAAAACACGAATCCATGCCAACTGCTTGACTGGAATTTTTAGCAAGAGGGACTCAACCTTTGAGGCTCTTAAAAGGTAGCACAGACAGTATCCCTACAATGCTGATTCTTCCTCTTATGCAAAGAATGCTTAGGGATCTTGGCTAATTTTCAGAGAAAATGGCTCCTAATAAACATCATTTGGTGATAATAATGGTGTCTCCCTACCTCCTCCAGGGAAGTAAATATACCCTTTATCACTCTTCCTTCCAAGTCCAACCCCATTTAAGGGATAAAATGTGTCTCAGCCTAGAGAGGACCAGTGAATCACCCTGGCCACTTTCTGTGGAGCCCACAGTGTCTCTGCCCACATGTAGGCTTATTCCAAGCCCTGGCGCCTAGAGGTACCAATAGGTCCACCACCCACAGAAGCATGACCAGGGGAGGGCAGGGATGCAGGATTGCTGCAGAATGGAGCTTTGGTGTCAGATGGCAGCCTCTCAGTAGAGAAACTGGCAGCGTGTTCATCTGTGTCAGGAGACATACGGTTTCAGTATTTCAGAGCCTTGAATCATGCCATGGTTGACTCAGATGTGTTCCCAATGCTGTCTGAGGCAGGCTGAAGAACCCTGCAGTGGACTTCCTGAATCATGTCTCAGGAGCACAGGCAATGGATTGGGCAGCCTACCTTAGGGAGTGCATGAAATTGATACCCACAGGGGCCTTGGCCTGAGAACCCTCCACCTAAGTCATGAAAATCAAGAAACAGGACAGGTTCTTAGAAAGTGGCCAAGTAAGGCAGCCTAACTACAAAGTGCCCTCGGTTTCCTCCGTCACTGGTTTTCTATCATGAGCAAATGGGGTAAAAGTGAGAGACTTTTCTAGAAAGGGACAAGAACCAGCCTGGAGCTGTTTGCATTTCACCCGTGCCAGGGTCAGTCTGTGGGGTAAAGAGAAGGGAAAATGGATCTTTTCTCTGAATTTCCCTGAGGGGACTCCTGAGCAGAGGAGTAAAGCCACAGGCTAAGGCTGACCAGAGAAGGCTGGCCAGTAGGGGAGAGGAATGAGGGAACTCCTGGATCCTGGCTACAGAGTAGGCTCCAGGAAGAACATCCTTGGATTTTCATGCAGAAAACCAAACCAGAAACCCCTTGAAGCTCTGGTAGAAATAACTAGCAAGATCTTGCCCAAGAACCAGTGGCTTCCAACTGTGACCTGAAAAATAGCTTTTCTATCTCACCATTAAATAAGATTTTGTCTGAAATTTTTATTTCACTGGCATGATTATTGGTATATAATGAGTTTGTACTTTTAAACATTCTCTGCAGAATTTTAGGCAGCAAGGATGTAGAGGATAGGTGTATTGATCAGATTTGTGTTACTACTATGAAATACCTGAAGCAACTAACATATAACAAGGAAAAGGTTTATTTAGAACACAGTTTGGGAGGTTGGAAGGGCTGGTGTCTGTACTGGCTCCCTTCTGGTGAGGGTGGCAGATGGTGGGACATCATGGGAAAGTGCACACACGAGCAGAACCATCACATCTGCAGCCAGGAAGCAGAGGGAGAACAGGCTGCTGTCCCATGATCCCCTTTAAGTCCACATCCCCAGGGACAAGGTCCTCCCATTCAACCCCACCTCCTAAAGGTTCTTCTGCTCCTTCTCAGTAACACCACCTGGGGGACCAAGCCTTTAACAAATGGGCCTTCAGCACTCAAACCGTGGCAGTTGGAGTTAATCAAAGCCAGGGACATCTGAAGGTGTCACTGCTTGAGCTGATCCATTAGTTGGCTGGTGTGTTCTCTTGCTTCTTTCTTTCATTGTCTTCACAGTGACTGATTCTCCCAACTCTTCCATCCTATCTGTTCTGTGCACCACTCAGGGAAAGGGAATTTACTAAAGTAAACACCTACCCTAAATCCAACTCCCCATCTCCTTAAATTCATACACTGTGCACACAAAACAAAAGTCCCAAGAAAACTAAAGGTGAGTATACACTAGCTTAGAGTACATGCATCCAATACCTCAGGGGTCTGTGGGGTGGTCTGAAGAGTGGGGTAGGTGGTAGATAGTACTGATGTGAACAACAACAGCGAGCCAGCAGAAATCTCTTCCCTACAGGTAGGAGACGGCTACCTGTAGGAGCTGCCTGGGGGTACCTGGGCCCTGTATGATTAGGCAGGACTAAGTTGTTCAGAATGAAAGGGTTTTGTTTCTAATGGTCAGAAGGTAACTAATTAGGCAGATCATCCTTCTATCATAAGCTGAAATTTACCAACCAAAGACAGGGGAAAAATGTTTTTATGTTTAGCACTCAAAACATGTCTAGTGCTTAAGAATAAACCTAACAAAAAGTGGCTGAGATCCCTACCGAGAAAATTATCAAACTCTATAAAGAGGAATGGAAGAAAAACTAGTAATTAGAGAGGTGTGGTCACAAATTAGAAAATTCAATATTAAGCTAGCCCATGGCTGTAATCCCAGCACTCTGGGAGGCTGAGACAGGAAAATCACAAGTTTGAGCCCAGCTGGGGCAATTTGGCAATGTAGTAAGACTCTGTCTCTAAATTTAAAAATGAAAAGGGCTGAGGATGCAGCTCAGTTCAGTCCCCAGCACAAACAAACAAACAAAACCTCAGTATTTTTAAGATGTCCTTTCTCCTCAGACTGACCCATAGATTCAATACAATCCCAATTAAAAGTCCACATGGAACTTTCCCGGAGGTGAGAACCAAGTCACACAGCAGAGCCTTTAGGGCCAATGCTGTTGGGCCTGGGCTGGTCTCCAGGCCGTGCCTGTGGTGGCAGCTGTGACCTCACCGTGGCAGGAGAGTGCAGGGACCTGGGGGGAGGAAGCAGTGTGGACCACACACCTTCCACTCTCAGGGACAGATTTCGCTTCCGGAAGGGATAATGACGTCTCTCGGGGACCTGGGATTGCTGTTGACAATGCCTTGCAAGGGCAGCTCGAGGAGGAAGTGTCGAGCTGATGGCACCCTGGAAGCGGGCTACAGACTTGTCCCCCAGGAGAAGCTGGCCTGCCCAGGGGAGCAGGAGTTTGCCCAAAATCGGGGTGGGGGATCCTAATCAGTCCCTGTCTCTTTGGCTCCCGTCACCCTCAGGACTCACTTTCACATCTCAAGACATATTAGGACCCAAAGGCATGCAGACCAGAGGGATGACATGCAGCCTCCAGAGAGCACTAGCTACCTCCCAGTGTGCTCGTGCCAACTAGGACGTGGCCACTGCCTCCTGCAGCTGTTGAGCCCTGGAAATGTGGAGAGTGTGCTGAGGAATCGGTTCCCAAATTTTGTTTATTTAGATTAATTTAAACTTACATTACACCTGTGGCCAGAGCTGCCATATTGGGCAGTACACTCTGGGCTCCTGTTTTGCAGACCCCGCTCTCTGCTCTCCTCTACCTGCGTCCAGGTTTTGCCAGCCCAGCTGCTCAAGCTTCTTGAAGCCAGATGGTCTAGCTCATCCTCCCCACCCTTACTCCATCTGTGATTTTCTGCCAGGAATTCACTCATGTGCTATGGACCCCTTGTGCTGGGGAAGGCAGTCTCTCACCCTGGGATCCCCTAGGGTAGCTTTTCTCTTGACTGTCAGATTCGTCTTTTGTCCCTGGATTTCCCTAGTCCTTAGAAGCTGCAAATGCCAAGGCCTTTTCTCACAAATTCCCTCCCACCCACCTCCTGACTTGGTCCCAACAAAGGCAGAGAGCACTTTAGGA